TATGTCATTAATATGCCGAATTATTTGTTTTTTTGATGAATGTTACATGAGTGGCATTATGCCGAATAAATATTTTTTGACTAGTGATAGTAGTGACCTGTAGGTAATTATATTAAGAGTTGGAAGGGTTTTCACCTAAACTTCTAATGGAACGATAAATCACTTCCAAAGTTGTACTTAGAGTAGTAATTATAAAGATAAATAAACTAGTTAGTGTTTTTAACTTTAGTGATTTATATTATATGTATAGTTTACAAATATTTAATAAAGCACATATAACTAGTCTAACAGAGGATTAAAAAAAAAAAATAATAAAGTATATAAAACATATATAATAAAAACATAGTAAGTGAACTATATAATTGAAAATTCAAAATTTTTTAAAAATTTATTTATCATTTTTTTTTTTTTTTTATTAGCCAATAGTATATTTTTTTTTAAAACTTGTGAGTCTAATCAGTAAAAACTTGTTTATTTTTTTTACCAATATATTTTCATTCTTATATTAAAATTTGAAATCAAGTTAGAATAGGCAAAAAATTTGATAAATACTTTATTGAGTCTTAACTTCTAGATATAAAAAGTAAATTACAGCCTAACCTTACTTAGTTTAGTCAATAAATGTCGGTATATTTATAAACAATCATAATCACGTGGATAATACAAATTTGTCGACACGCAAAGTTTTGGTGGATTACTGTGATATTTTACAATAAGTAATCCTCTATTCATTCTATTACCATTTACCTTCTTTAATCTTTTTATATTTGATATGCTGTGCAAGTGCGGAAAGAACGCGAGCCACTTCGAGACCAAGAAGCCTGGACCCAACAAGGGTCGTTGGTTTTTCTCATGTCCTATACGAAAATGCGGATTTTTTCAATGGGATGGTAATGCTGTACCCGCAGCTTCAAGTTCAGGACCCTCGCAAGCTTTACCACCTACCCAAGTCTCAAGTAGTTTGCCGATAAACATGCCTAAAGTTGATTCCCCACTAAAACAAAAGACGGATAACGTTAACTCGGTCATGCAACTAAGAAGTCAGCCGACCGTCGTTGAATTAAACTTCGATATTTTTGGGAAGACTGAATTTGTAGTTCGCGGATTTCATGCTAAAGTACGCGACGTGCTAAAACAGCTTCCCTTTTCAAAATATAATCCAAGCGAAAGAGGATGGATTTTACCTCAATCACAATACGAGGATTGCATAAAGCGATTGAGAGAAATCTCTGATATTAGGTTAAAATTAAATGGTTTTCCGGCTCACATTGTGAAGTTATTCAACTCTATTGGAGGTTCACCAGATAAGCGTGTTCAGGTGGAAAATGAAATCAAACAACGAATTCCAGCTGATCTATGGTCAAAATTAATGCCCTTTCAAAAAGAGGGTGTTATTCAAGCCATCATGAGAAACGGTCGTATTCTACTTGGTGATGAAATGGGTCTTGGAAAGACTATTCAAGCTCTCACAGTTTGTAGTTTTTATGAATCGGATTGGCCAGTGCTTGTTGTATGTCCTTCTAGTTTGAGGTTGACTTGGTCCATCGAAATCCAAAAGTGGCTTCGGGTCCCTGAAAAATCAATCGACGTAATATTTAATACAAAAAATGGAATTTCTAGTCCTACGCGCAAATTTGTAATCACGAGTTATGAAATTGCCGCGAAAATGGGAGAAGCTTGCGCAAATGAATTTAACATTGTTATCTGTGATGAAGCACATTATTTGAAAAATAAAGAGACAAAAAGAGCCAAAGGGGTCTGTCCTTTGGTCCAAAATTCTGCAAGAGCTCTTTTGCTTACAGGAACACCAGCATTGTCAAAGCCTGCCGAACTTTTCTCTTTGGCTAATTCATTGGATAAGTCTATATTTACATCATTTCCTCAATATGGGGCAAGGTACTGTGATGCAACCAGGGGACCATTTGGGTGGAATTACTCCGGTGCATCTCACCTAGATGAACTATGCTGGTTATTGGATCGAACTATCTTGATTCGCCGACTGAAAAAAGACGTAGAACTCGAGTTACCCCCCAAAACCCGTCAAATCATTTATGTTGATATTTCTGCATCCTCACTTAGAGAAATTCAAAAATTACAGAAAGAATCTAAGGAGCTGCGTCTTATTTCCCAACAAGCCACTGGACTTAAGCAACGTGATGCAGAATTGCGATGCAAGGCTCTTCTTGTGCAAATGTGGCATGAGACTGGTCGCTCTAAAGTCCCTGCTGTTCAGGAATATTTATCTGAAATATACGAAAATTCAGATAAAAAATTCATCGTATTTGCACATCATTTAGAGGTTCTAGATTCAATATCGGACCATCTTAGAAGTAAATACGGTGAAAATTACATCCGCATCGATGGAACCACTAACCAAATCCGTCGTCAAGCTTTGGTGGATCAATTTCAAGCCGACAAGAAAACAAGAGTAGCAATTTTATCTCTTACAGCAGCATGCACAGGTTTAACTCTTCATGCCGCGGACCTGGTAATTTTTGCTGAGTTATTCTGGAATCCTTCCACATTATTGCAAGCCGAGGATAGAGCGCACAGGATAGGTCGACAAGGTAGCGTCGACATTAAATATATGTTGGTTAAGGATACTTCTGATTCTATTCAGTGGCAGATGGTGCGACAAAAATTACGAGTTGTTGGAAAGATGTTGGACAATGATATCGAGAAGGTTACAATAGAGGAAGGAACATCTTTTGGCGCAGTTGATCCAGATCTTCTTTCATGGTGCGAGCGTATTAGTAAAGAATGTCCCCAATCTGATGAAAATGACAATATAACTTCGAATCATAGAGATTTACCACCTCCTCCGTCCTTGGAACTCGAACTTGACCAAAATTCAGAAAGCGATATTCCTGTCATTAATTTAACAGTTGATAATCCTCGTGAAGACTCGATCATTGAAGTTAGATCAACTCTGTCAGCACATGAATTTGCTATGGAAAGTTTCAACAGTGGAACATCTATATCTAGTGGCCCTTTGGATATTTCTGAAATTTCTGATATTCCGACTTCCGACGAGAAACTTTCTCAATCTACTATTTTAAGTAGCGCAACTGATGAGAAACCAGGAATTTTGCGAGTAAATTATTCAAAATCTGATGATGATAGTGGCGCTCCTAAATTGGATATTTGTGAGTCTTTTCTGGATTCGCTTGTTGATTTTGACGATTCTCTGATTCCAGACAGTCTACTTAATCCTATACCGGAACCTGAAGCTATCAATATGCCAGCCAATGGTCGAAATTATCAAAATGAACGAGACTTGTCACCTTCAAATAACGTGCAAGATTCACAGTTCAATAATGTAAGTAATATACAAGTAGAAGATGTAGTCGAACGGAAAATTAGCGCTGGGAAATCTGTCCAAGAATCCCGTGAGACTAGTTTGGAGCCTGATGTCTGCGATTCAAGCGTCAAATGTGAAAAAAGTTATCAATGGGATGAGGATTTTAATTATTATTATTTGAAGTTTATACAATATGGCATTGAGCCACCAAATGAGATCAGGGAATCTTTAAAATGCAAATTTCCAGATCTTGATTATGACGCATCTTTATCAAAGGAAAAAAGAAAATTCGAGGAAGGCGGTCATGAGGAATCGTTGAAAAAAATCAAATTGTCAAGAGGATGAAGTTGGATGGTTATATCACCCAACTTGCCATATTTGCAGATTCTTATTAGATAGCCTAATAATCAAGTATAAACACATACCCAATTAAATGAAGAGATAACAATTGTGTGCAAGATTTAAGGTTTTTGCACATAAAATATTTTCACTTTCAAAGAAAAAATTTTTCGAAATAAATTAGACAATAGTGTATATAATCCGGATGGCAAATTTGCCTTTCATTGTATATTGTATTAATTTTACAATGTAGAAATAGAAGTAGAATAATTATATCAAATTCTCGTTCAACTAAAATGCGATAACAGGTTTATAGAGTAAAAGATTCAGAATTGCATATAACGAAATTACAAAATTTATTATTGAATTAAAAATTTAATTTATTTGTTTGTTTTAATAATTTATAAATTTATTTTATCAATCTTAATAATAATGTATCAAAGATTATTTAATGATGAGTTATAGAAATATATTATAGATAATGTAAAAAATTTAAAACACATACGTATAATAGAAAATAAGGAATTTTTTTACATTTAAACCGCAACTGGTATTAGATGCGAGCATTTTATTAAGGATTAACCTACAGCGTAATATCAATCATCTTATATATGATATGTACAGACAAATTAATGATAACTTATCTCAATAGATCTTGTAATCACTTTATAAATGAATAGACTTGGTTAGAGATCGAATTGTTGATATATAGTCATCAATGATATGATTAGTATAGCTAGTCTAGAACTATATACAGTATTAGTTTTTTACTTTTACTATATTATATTATAGTTTAGAAAAGTCTTATACTTTTTTTCTATATTACTTACAATTAGGTTAGATCGTTATTTATTAATCAAAAAAATACAAAATTATATATTTATTTGAGTAGCATGATACATACGCTAGTCGAAATTATAGATCTGTGGGTCTATAGCATAATGGTAATGCTCCCAGGTTACCATGTATTGTTTCCAAGTTCAATACCATGGCAAGACAGTATCATCCAACCTAGGTGGTACAGAAGATTTCATCTGTCTCATAATGCTAATCACTGCCTGCTCTGATCAAAATCCTGTTTGATTATGGAATATCAAAAAGATTACAAGGTGCTTCAATCGGTTTTAATGCTGAAGCCACCTTATCACAAGACAGGTTTTATCAAGCTTTTGTAGATAGGTTGAAAATCTACACAATGATAAAATAAGGAAGCTAGCAGAGTTTATACACATTAGTTAGAAGAGAGTCTCTATTAAAATTGACACCTGTTCAAAATTTCATATGGTTATTTTATAGGCAAGTTATAATAAATCATATAAAAAGGATTACTGGTGGGATAAAATAACATCTAAGACTTCATGTGGATATTTTGTAGATATACTATAATAGGTACTATAAAAAGAATATCTAATAGGATAAGATATGAAAGGGGTTTTGTGTTTCAGATCCATATCTATAGAAATGAGGATTATGGAAGAATAATACAGATCTAGATAGTAAAATAGTAGGATTTTTTCTAGCGACAAGCATAAGGAAATATAAGATACTACAATCAGATTTATCATCTAATAGTGGAATATACATAAGTTTTTTTTTTTTTTTTTTTTTAACCCGCAGTCAGGTCAGCATGACATGTTTTTATTGTATATATGCTAGGTATTTACAAATTTTTATGACTTTCATATACTGATTCACTCATTGTTGAAAAAATATTTTTCTAAATGCAATCTAGAGAATGATATTTCGCTTCTTTACTAATTTGAAATATTTCCTCTAATTAATAAATTCATTGCCTATAAGTCATTACTGTAAATCATTCTAAGTTCTGTCTGCAGTTAAAAACCAAACTACTTTATTTCATGACAGATCCAATCCTTAATAATCACCATATATTTCTTTTCTTCTATTTCTTTGATACCTTCTAGGCTTAAATCTTTTGAAGATGATGGCACTTCTTTTTATTCCTGTTCAGTCTGTTCGTCAGGTTTAGACTTGGGCCTCTTGTTTCTTTTATCCTCTTCTATAATATTTTGCTTCTTTTCCCATTCTATCACTTGGGCACAGTAAGTATTCCAGATCTCCTTTTTAAAATTTGCTCTCATCTTCAACCAGATAGCACAGAGCAACCATTAGAAGTGGCCATGTCATAGATCCATTTTTTACCATAACTTAATTGACATAATAATCTAAGAAAAAGGAAACAGATCTTCTTGCCAGGAAACCTTACAAACTGGCAGACAAATGTATTTCAGCAAACAATGGCTCTATTAACTTCCAAATCAGCTGAAGTAAAGATTCTAGTTAAAGACTGGGATATCATACTAATAGAAGAAGCCATACAAACAGAAGAATACAAAGATGAACTCAAGAGCATCTTGAGATATAACAAAAGGAATATGGTTGATCAACTTACTTTCTATATAGATGGCTCTTATAAAAAAAAAACAAAAGATTACGAATTCAAAATGGGTATAGCTTGAATCATAATAGAGAAAGACAAGATAGTTAAATAGTTTTTAGCAGGAGCATTCACATGGCTATCAATAATCAGAGCTGAAATACTAGCTATTCTCATTGCACTGTATACAGCCCCTGAAATGCAATAGTTATAATTTACATTGACTGCAATACTGCAGTCAAAGTATGGAAATCTATCTGTTTACAAATAGAGATATCTATAAGAAGATGGACAAAAATTACTAACTGGTTACTTTGGAATAAGATCAAGGACCTAGTAAAGAAGAAAGACCTGAATCTGGAAATCCTAAAAGTCAAAGCACACAGAACCAATAGATTCAACAATTAAGTAGACTTACTTGCCAAACAGGCCAGATAGAAGAATCTAATAATTTGGTATCAGTTACTAGAACTAGGAAAAGTCCTCACGATAGCAGCATGGGAAGAATACACAATAGAAATTAGTATCAGAGATTTCGTCAAGATGTTCAATAAGAAAAAAACTGAACTAGACTAGACAACACAGAAATGAATCCAGGATCTCTGGATCCAAAATGATAAAATGATAGACTGACTGACTTTTTGGAATCAGTTCAATTCAATCAATACCTTTGATGCCTCTTTCAAAACCAACAAAGATAAAAGCTTTCTAACTAACTTAACTCACAATTAATTTCCAATCCTACAGATACTTAAGAAGAGAAAACCAGATATATATATCACAACCACTTGCCCAATATGTGAACTTCAAGAAGAGACACTAGGACATTTTTTTGAATGCCCAGCCACTAGGAAAACTTGGAAGAACTTATAGAAGAAGGCAAATGAAAAGCTCAATAAATTTATCGGTAAAGAAATAAAAGAGAAGAATGAAGATTAACCTAAGATAAGTGACTAGATAGACAAATAGTTAGAAGAGATCCAGAAATTCGACAGGAACCTTTTCAATACTATCTATGGATATATGAAAGAAAGCAAGACCACCTCCTTGAAAAAGTATCTCAAAGAGCAGCTCAAGATCACACCAGCAAATACACAAGGTATAATTGATAAACTCTGTCAAAAGATGAGAGCAAATTTTAAAAAGGAGATCTGGAATACTCACTGTGCCCAAGTAATAGAATAGAAAAAGAAGCAAAATATTATAAAAGAGGATAAAAGAAATAAGAGACTTAAGTCTAAACCTGACTAACAGACTGAACAGAAACAAAAAGAAGTGTTATCTCCAGAGGATTCGAGCCTAAAAGGTATCAAAAAAATAGAAAGAAAAAAGTATATAGCAATTATTAAAAACTGGATCTGTTATGGAATAAAGTGGTTCAATTTTTAACTGTAGACAGAACTTAGAATGATCTATAGTAATGATCTATAAGCAATGAATTTATTAATTAGAGGAAATATTTCAAATTAGTAAAGGAGCAAAAAATCATTCCCTAGGTTGCATTTAGAGAATTAATTTTTCAATGACGAGTGAGTCAATATGTGAAAGTTACAAAATTTGTAAATACCTAGCATATATACAATAAAGACATGCTATGCTGACCTGACTGTGGGTTAAAAAAAAAAAAGTTGATTCTTAACATATTATCAGATCCTAGTGAACCAAGTTTATATCAAATAAATCATAACCTTTTTTCAATTATTAACAAATTAATACAACTATGGCAAGAAATAAAGCTCGATTTAACTATTAAAAATAAAGAGAAAAAAATAATTCAGTTAGCCTTAAGAGAATAATTGTTATCAAGATCAATGCACTTGTAAAAAAGAGTTATTGTATTCAAGTATTTATATACAGTTTTTCCTGGTTTTTATATTAACTATCTTAATTGATTTATTTACTTTAATCTGTGATGAGTAGTATAACAAGTTATACAGAATTGATATATAAAAGATTCAGTTGGATATTTTGCATTGTCTCAATAATTAATTTGATTATTTATAGAAGATTACCAAGTATATATAATTTTTTTGAGATAAGAGAAAAGTATTTTAAATTTGTATTGTTCACTGATATAATTTGCCTTATATCCTTTATCAAATTTATTAAGTCAAGTAAGAAGATCATATTTCTCTTCTTTAAATATTGGTATATCCATCAGTTTTGTTTTTCTTTGGTTATTGTTCCTTGATACATTCATTCCAACAATTGATTCAGAGAGTTGTTATAGTACATTAATAAAATTTTAATCATTATTTTGCCCATGATTATAGATAGATTGATTTTGTTACTCTTCCTTTTGCTCATTTTTTTGCCTTTGATCTGATCTATTTCTGCATAGTAGTGGTTATTATTATCCTTTATATTGTTCTAATTGTTGTCATTGTACTTTTTTTGCCCATTGCTTTTCTTATTATTATTCTAACCTTATGGGTGATACCTATTTCAAGATTGATTCAAGTTATAAGAATGGTTTGTTTGATCCCAAGGGTTCTGAAAAATATTATTCATGGTCAAATTATAAGATAGTAGAAAAAAACAAATTGCACTGTATTGGTTAGGATTAGAAGTATCCAAAAAGTGGATTGAAGAAGATAAGAATAGAGTT